TTAACATGATATATTTAAATGTTTTAAAGACGTTGCTTAAACTTAAGAAGTTATTTACTTAAAGGCAGCAAGACAAAGTACTGGATGGCTAAATTATGTAAAGTGAAATTAGAACAGAAAAATTTCAGCTGTGATATGTCATATCAATTGGTTAACTAAAGTTTTACTACCCTTATGTTCTTAATGCACTTAAGTTTCTTCCAGTATATATATGAATGGGACTGTGTAGGGGTTGGAATGATTATTTATTTATTTTTTAAGTGTAGAGAAGTCCATCCATTCCAAATTCCTATTTATTGTGAAAATCATTCTAGATATCTTTCTTTGGATTCTTAATAACTTTATAAGTATTGCTATGACTGAATTTATCTCACACTTAAAATATATTTTATGTACTGCCATTTATGTTATTTTTCTAAAATATGGCTTCAATCTTGTTATTGCACAGTGTATGATTCTCCATTGCATTCACAAAATTTTCCAACCTTAAATTCAGACTCAAATGCTTTAAATGAGGTACAAGATGTCTGTTTTTGCCTGTTTCTACCACCCTATCCACAAACTTAGTGCTGTGGTTACTCTAGATGTCTAGACTAGTAGTTCTTAACCTCTTTGGTACCAGGGACCAATTTGTGGAAAATAATTTTTCCATGGAATAGTGAAGTGGGGGGTTCAGGATGATTCAAGCATATTGCATTTATTGTGTGCTTTTTTTCTATTATTATTACATTGCAATATATAATAAAATAATGATACAACTCACCAAGATGGAAAATTAGTGGAATCCTGAGCTTGTTTTCCTTCAACTAGAATGAAAGTAAATTCAAATCCTGACAGGAATTATGGGGACATGTGACCACTGGGATTTTTGACATGTTTCAATTGAGAATTGAATATACTGTTGATGTGACAGAGATGGAGCTCAGGCAGTAACATGAACAACGGGGAGTGGCTGTAAATACAGAGGAAGCTTCACTCACCTGCTGCTCACCTCCTGCAGTGCAGCCTGGTATCCTTCTGTGGTCCATGGTGGGGAGACCTCTGCCCTAGAGGGTCCCTGTAGTCTCCATTACCTACATAACTGACACTTAACTCAGACTATTTTATACTCCCAGAAATTCCTGTTCCACCTACCTTGTGGCTGCCAGTCTGAGCCACCCTCTTGTTAAGACATGACTCATAATTCCATCCCATCTTCTTACCACCATATCTGCTCATCACAACTTCCCTCATCCTTCCATGTTTATAGTGCTTATGGCAACATGCTTTATTGACATTTACTTGTTTCCATGTCTATTTTTAAACAGAAGCTCACATATGATACTGAAATCACTCGAAGAATAATGACAGCTACTGTCTGTAAACGCTATCCCTGCTTACCTTCACTATGATGCTATGGTTCTGGTATTTGTTTCCAGTTTAGACTTGGTGAACCAAAAGAAACAAATGAATTAACAAAAATAAAAGAAAAAATATGACTTGCATAAGAGAGTTGGAAAAGAAAAAAAAATCAATTTGAAATACAATTTTCTTTATATCAAAGATGAGGCTCTCAGTCTGTACTCTTCTGTCTCTGCCAGAAAAGGAACTTTAGTATTTGGATCAGGCGCCCTCACAAAAAAAAAAAAAAAAAAAAAAAAAAGGGAACTTTGTCATGCAAGCTCTGGGTACATCTATTTATAGTGTGGTATTTTGGCTCAATGGTACGTGACAGGAATTTGGAGACATCCTACAGAACAGCAGGGAGAAAAGAGAAGAAGATAATTAATCTACTCAAAGTTAAGAGTTCTGAAATTATAGTCTCCTTTTATTTCTTCAAATGAGTGATGAACTGGGAGCCAGATTCCTCAGTGTAAGAAACATCTCAGTCTTTTTCCTGAGAATATCAGAATCTTTTGTTGATCAGAATCTTTTGTATGCTTCCTGCTCTGAGTATGACCTCTAGGGTCAGTTTTTTATTTTTATTTGGTTTTTGAATTTTCTACCATGCTTTGCACTCTAAACATCAGCAGTCAGATGATCGCTCATTTAGGCAGAAGTATAACATAGTCTATTGTTCTATAGTTTGTCCCCAGATAAGAAACAAATAGCTAACCTATTAGCCTTTGTCCAGCCACAGTCTGTATGGATGACATAGGCTGGAAGCTCTCTTCACAGTTCCCATGAGGCGAACGCATTTGGGGGTGGCTGTAGAAGGTGATTCACCTGAAATTGGAGGTTTAGTGGTACCTACCAGAGATGGTAAGTGAGGGGAATGGGCGGTCGAGGGCAGTCAGAGCAGAAAAGGGAGGAAATATTTAACAACCAGAAAAAGTTAAGCTCAGAGACCGGGAGATGGCAGAATGGTTACATCAATGAACTCCCATGTAGTTGACCGCAGTTCAAGTCCTAGACCTGGTGTCTTAAACTTCACACTGGAGGAGAAGGGATTATGGTATGGCTGTCTTCCCTAAGGGGTGATTTTTTTCTCTCTCTTTGTCTCTCTGGTGAGCCTATGTGCCCTGCGGCAAAAAAATAAAAAATAAAAAATAAATGATGAAATATTTTTGACAATCAAGGAAAAACAGTTAACTCGCCCATATTTGCTCCTTAGTGATTAAAGGTGTGACTGAACCCTCCCCACCTCACAGGTTTGTCTCTGAGGGAGAAGCACTGGCCAAGGAGGTCATCCAGTCTGATCCCGAACACAGAACACACATACGTAGTAGCCAGGCCTCGACCGTGTCCAGGGAGCAGTGAACGATTTACCACTCAAAAAACTGGAGCAACGTTCATACATGACCAGGTTGGCGGTGCTACCCTCGGGGACGAAGCCCTGGAGCTTCAGTGGGAGGCAGTGAACACAGCCAGGCTGATCCCCGGCTCCGCTGTGGCCACGTGGACAGTCATGATGATGTCACGTCTGAACTGCACATGACCGAGAGCGGGAGGGCAGATGGCACCTGCACCTGTGATCTCTGGGAACATTCACTCGGAGCCTTGTCCCCTCTCCTGGTGGGCATGCACGTCTTGGAACTGGTCACTGCACCACAGCATGATGGCACCACCCGGGGATGGTTAGGTGGGGCTGTACCAGACTGGTAGGTGGTGGAGGGGACAGCACAGTAGGCACTGCAGACGTGGTGCCCATGGCCACCTCCAGGAGACGAGGATGAGAGGCACCCACGGGGACACAGCTTGGGTCAGTGGTGGGAGGCTGACTTCCCTCCAGTCCAGAGCCATCTGTAAAATACCAGCTCTGTGCTAAATGCCAGGCCAGGCCAGGGCCCTTAGTCATGAAGCTTGGTCAGTAATTATGACAAAATAAAAGTGTAAAAGTGGGACAACCAGATGGCATAGTCATGTCACTGAACCACCCACATGGTAGGCAACAGTTGGAGTCCCAAAGCCAGTGACTTGAAAGTCTCACTGGGAGTTGCACAGGAGTGACCAATATCCTGAGAGAAGAATGAGAAGGGATTGCTGCTTGGCCATCTTCCCTGGGGGAGTTTCCCATTTTCCCTCTCACTGTCTCTGTTTCTCTATTTCCAGTGCATGCATCCTAGGCCAAAAACTTACAAAAAAAATGTAAAAGGGTACACTTGGTCACTTCAGTAAGCACAACAGGGACTTATAAATGCATTGCTAAGTTCAGAATCTGTGTGACTAAAAGTTGCTGCAACTCTACAAAGCAATTAATCATAAGCTCTGAAATAGAAATACAATTAATGATCACTTAAATATTTCAAAAATTAAAATTGAATATTGTGTGATTGAAAAGTACACTCTAGATGTGAAGCTTCAGATGAACCAGTTATTAACAATGGAAAGTTCAGGTTAGTTCACCTTGTAATTGCAATGTGGTGGTAAGTGCATAAACTGGCAATGGGCATGCAGTAACCACTGGTATCCATAGGACTTCCACAAATATACCAGAAATGTGAGATGAACGTGCACAACTCCAAACCCTAACTATTTTTAATGGTGTTCTTTCTACAATTTCTGATGCATTTATTCTCTCTTTATATGTTGCCCATGAAAACATGTTTCATTGTGTACAATTACAATGAAAATTCCCTAACTTGAGTTGGTAGTTGGCATAACAATTCTAGTATTTTTAATTTATCTTCCTGTAAGTCTACAAGGAAAAATAACTATTTCCTGAATGCGTAGATTCAATTGCATACATAATATGTCTTATTTTTTCCTTAACTTACCTATACTAATTATTCTTTCTTTGAATTTTGTGCAGATATAAGTAATTTCTTTCCCTTATGACTGTTTTTAGTCCCTGTGGAGAGCAGTCATTCTGAACAAACACAGTGACCTTCAGACATATGCAGAAACACTGTGAGGTTCATTTGCATAGCTATGAAAGCATTAAAATATGAATATGCTAACTGCTGATACTGCAAAGCAGTATCTGTCTAAGGTAGCCACATGAGTTATTCAGATTTTGGTCCAAAAGATTGGAAGAAACAAAATGGCACCAGTTCTTTTCACATCATCAGCCAATTAACATTTGAAACCATCTGGCTTTGTATTCTATTGCTTCTTCTGCCATTTTCTGCTCTATAAAATCATAAACTGCAGGTGGTTCAAGGTCATGGCTTTCTCCATCAGAGAAGTCAGGTCCTCCAGATCCTCGTTTTTCTATACTTGTATATCACTGTGTGTTTGTTTTTACATTTATTTCTAATCTACAGCCTCTCCACACACACCCAATCAGGAAAAAAAAAAAAAAAAGTGTGTTCAGCCGAGCAGGTCTCAGCAAGGCCCTGCATCCAGGCATGAGATAACATTTGTAATTCCTATACAATGTTGAGTGGCATTAGTCTTGATTCCTGTGAATTAAGGCAGAATGTTTTGCTACATTTTCACAGAGCAGATTATCTGAATCACTCTTCTCAGGGCCTGCATTCCATCCTTATTTCTTAGACTATAGATGATGGGGTTAAGATTGGGGTGAGGATAGTGTAGAAGACAGCCAGAACCTTGTCCTCTGTGGGAGATCAGAAGGATCATAGCTGTAGGTAAGTGTAAGTGAAGGGTGAGTAGTAGAAAGTTACCACAGTGAGGTGGGCACTGCAGGTGGAGTAGGTCTTCCACCTCCCTTCTGCTGAGCTCATGCGGTACACAACAAGGAGGACCTGACTGTAGGAACACACAATACCAAAGAGAGGGAGCACAAAGAAGAGGATGGTGCTCAGGAACACCATGTAGTCATAGACCCTGGTGTCCATGCAGGCCAGGGTCACCATGGTGGGAACATCACAGAAGAAATGGTTGATAGCCCTGAACTGGCAATAAGGGATGGAGAGGGCACACGAGTTGATAGAGCCCATCACCCAAGACCCTGTCACCATCAGCACACACAGTCTTCTGCCCATTCGGACGTGACAGTGGAGAGGACGGCAAATAGCCACATAGCAGTCATAGGCCATGGATGTCAGGAGCAGTGTTTCTGCACCTCCTAGAGTCAAAAAGAAGAAACTCTGAATCCCACACCTCATGAGGAAGATAGACTTGCTTCCAAATAGAAAGTTGGAAGCTATATTAGGGATGACGGTAGAGAGGTAATTTAGGTCAATGAGAGAGAGCTGACTCAGCAGAGGAAATACATGGGTGTGTGGAGATGGGGGTCCAGGAGGATGAGGAACATCATGGACAGGTTGCCAATTAGTGCCATCAGAATACGAGAATAATGAGAGCAAAGAGCAGAAAGCTGGCTGCTGATGGTGGGAACAATCCCAGTAAGATGAAATCACTCGATGCTTGATTACAGATTTCTGTGGGGCATTCATGTGGTATTTTCCTAAAGGGAGACACAAGCATAGTTAAGTTAAATAGATATAACTTAAGTTGGTAGTTGGCATAACAATTCTAGTATTTTTAGTTTATCTTCCCATAGGATATAACTATAGTTATATCAATTTAACTTAACTAATTATATATATTAAGCTAATACTGATTTTTTTCTCTTTTTTTAAATAAAATTTTATAGGTCTCAAAAAATAGTTTTTCTGACTTTGGAAAATGGGAAACTTATTTTATAACATAGAGATTAATATTTAATGAGGCGAAAATTTATGACAGAAATGTTTTCTAATGAATCATTACATTAATAAGAAAATAATTATAATTTGTCTCTTATAACTTCTTCAGTAGCTAGGGATGACACATTTGTCCCACCAGTCAGATATCCTCAAACCATATGAATAGAAAATCAATATAAATGAATGAATTATTAATGCACATTATAAATAAATTTATATTGATCCTATGGTATTTTTTTTCCATATTGATTACTTAAGACTTATCTGTACAACTCCAGCAACCAGTATCTTATTTGGAAAAACTACATTTTTTCAGTGGTCTTTGCACAGTCATGTCAAGAGTCTTTCAAGGCAGGTTTCCTTATTTGGCTCTTGTGTTTAAAAATTTGACTGGTTCCAGATGGTTCCATGGCAGTGAAATTTGGTGTTCTGCAGGGCAATCTCACGGGGAAGGACCCAGTTCACGTTTGGAGTCTTATTGAATACACTTGAGCATGGGCTTGTCTCCAGTGTGGGCTGCCTGGAGCTGGGGTTGGACCATGGGGTCAAGACCCTGTCGGGGATGCTTTCTCTGTCTCCCTCTTTCTCTTGTACTCTCTTTCTTTGTGTCTCTTACTTGTGCCACTTATCTCCACGACTCTCTCATGAAGAAAGTAAACTTAAACAAAAAATAAAAGTGGACACTGAAATAGATAATTGCACAACCACATTCACGGTGGCATTGTTGACAATAGGGAAAAGGCAGAAACAAGTATCCACCCCCAGATGAACCAGTGAATGCAACCTGGTATATACATGCAATGAAATCACAATCCATTTTAAAAAGGAAAGATGGTTGGCACTTGTCCTTAATGGATGGACATTAAGGACATCATGCAAAGCGAAATGGATCAGTCACTAAAAACCAGTAGTGCATGAGTTCAGTTACAGGGATGCCTGGATAGTCTAAGCCTTAAGACTGACCAGGACAGAGGTTTATAGGGGCCAGAGAGTGCAGGAGGGAGCTGGGGAGAGAGTATTCAGTTTCAGTCAGGGGTGATGAGTTCAGAGGACGATGGTGCTGAGTTGCACAGTGAAGTGGGTATGTCCTTAATGCCACAGCGCTGCGCTCTTAAAAATGTGTACAGTGGTACGTTTTATCTGATGTATGCTTACCGTAAAGTAACAGCTATAAAACGGAAATTATTTCCAAATACATTTAGGAAGATTCAGGACCTGCAGGTGATGAGGTAGTAAATGTGTTGGACTTACACATGGCCAAGAATGACTTGCGTTCCAGACCCAGAGGCTTTGAGCATGCACGACCCAGACATTATTTTTATAAATACTGTCTTCAGAAAAATCATGCCGGGCACCTATGAATGCATGGCCATAACCCCAGAAAGACAAAGTAGAAGGGATTGTAGTGTGGCCATGCACTCTGGGGAGTGATTTCTCCCTTTCCATCTCTCTGTCTCTCACTTGTGAATGCATGTGCCTTATATGGGAATAATAGGAAAAAAAGGAAGTTTCAGCAGGGTCCTGAGCTTTTAAGGAACAAGTCGACTTCTGTTATTAAATGATCTGTCACAAACTGTGAAGGAAAGTTCAGAGAGCAAATTATCTCATAAATGCCATTTGAACCATAAGAGCCCAACATATTGCACGGATGGCAAAGTCCACAATTTATATTACTACTTCTGTCATTGGAAAGTACTAAGCATAACATTTGAAATTACTAATGCACTAAAGAGAGTATGCGGGATGACAGAGGGTGGGTAATAGGGGGTGGAAGGGAGGGTATAGGGGGTGGAAGGGAGGGTATCAGGGAAAAATCTAACAGCAAATTTAATAGACACAAAAATGAAAAGTTACCTGCTGATGATAATGTAGACGGTAATCTTTTTTCTTTTTTTTTTAAGAATGAGCCCTTTACTCAGATTCCTCTGATGGCAACATCTTGCAAGAGTACTATATAAAACCATGGCCAGGATTTTGACTTTGATAGTCAAGATGTTAAACATTTTCATCACAAGAATCTTTCATGTGGTCCTTTTTTTAGCCATACTCATTTCTCTTCTTTTCTTTTTTTGACAGATCATATCTTTATTAAGGTTCAGTTCAATATATTTAACAATTTCTATTGTGATTTCCTATTTCAGAAATGGATTATCTAGAAGTGTGTAATTTTTTTTGAGAAAATATTTACATGTCAACTACTCAAACTGTTAAAAAGCAAACACCAAGCACACAATTCACACATGAACCTTCCCAACTCAGTCCTACCTACCAAGTATTCTGAAGTTTATTACCTTTTAGCAAAGATCAGTCTCTTTTTTTTTTCCTTAAAAATCTTCATTGATCCTCTGGTTGTGGTTGCTCTTTTGCAATTGCTATATTACAATGCTGGACTGGAAAAGTCTAGGTTATTTTATGAATTCTTTCATATAGCTTCCCCAAGCCTCTCTGCCAGGCAGAACTGTTCATGGTGCCAGAACATCTTCCCAAGAGCTTCTGCTGGCTTTCTTGAGATCTGCCTTAGTTCCATAGTTTTCTGGTCATATCTTCAGATATGACATTCCAGTCAAAGCATTGTCAGTTATTAGTATTTCCAATTTCTGATTCAAAGTAACAGGTATTATTGAACTTATGCAAATAGCCCTTCAGCCACAAAATAAGAATAGTCACAAATATTTTCCAATTCCAGAGGGATTAGTAGAGGAGAAAAGTTTATGTTTCAATTTTAAAAAACAAACAAACAAACAAACAAACAAAATTTAAACATATTGCTGAACCTATCAACTCAAAAGAAGCATATATTGGAATATTCACTTTGCAAGCTAAGTAACATGTGATTGAATGTATAAAAGAAATTGAAATAAAAAATTAAAGAAAAAATAACAAAAAATATTGTTAGCTAATATTTGTAAACAACAAAGAATTTTCAAATGTAAAATGAATAATTTAAAAAAGAATTAACTTCAAACACTTTTTAAAATTTGAGTAAAAGTCTTGATGTAATTAATAAAAAATTATTAGACGTTCCAAATTAGGGACCAGCAGTTAGCATAATGGCTATGTCGCTGGACTCCCACGTAGTCGACTGTGGTTCGAGTCCCAGACCCGGTGACTTAAACTCACGCCAGGTGCATGTGCATGCATGCCCAAGATCCCGAGAGGCGAATGGAGGAGAAGGGATTGCGGTGCGGCCATCCCCCCTGGGGGGTGATTTCTCGCTTTCTGTCTCTATGTCTCTCTCTGTCTGTCTGGCGAGCACACACACCCTGTAGCAAAAATCTCTCCAAAAAAAAACACTATCTGGACTAATCAAGAAAAGCAGAGGAAAGATCGGATAGATAAAATCAGTAACAAAGCTGGTAATATGGCAACTGATATATCAGAAACAGAAAAAATTATAGTACAATACTACAAGTGGCCATATGCCAACAAACCACAAAATCGAGAAGAGATGGACAAATTTCTGGACATCTAAAAGTTAGCTAGGCTGAATGAAATAGAAAGACTGAATAGATTAATAACGTGATGAAATTGACAGTAATAATCTCCCAACAACAACAGAAAAGACCGGGTTCTGAAGGCTTTACTTCTGAATTTTACAATAGTATTAAAGAAGAGCTAACCCAAATTCTCCTCTAAGTCTTTCTAAAGATCCAAAAGGAAAGAACTCTCCCAATCTCATTCTATGACACCTCCATGGAAAGAACTCTCCCAATCTCATTCTATGACACCTCCATGGAAAGAACTCTCCCAATCTCATTCTATGACACCTCCATCATCTTGATACCAAAAGCAGACAGACATAACAATAACAACAACAAAAACCTGCAGACAAATACCCCTGATGAATACTGAGGCAAAGATCCTAACAAGATACTACCAAATCAAATCCAATAGCACTTCAATAAGATCATACACCACAATAGGTTCCCAGGGATACAAGGATGGTTAGCATAAGCAAAGCAATAAATGTAATACATCACATTAACAGAAAAAAAGATTAAAAACTATATGATCATGCGCATAGATGAAGAAAATCACTTGATAATATACAACATCATGTCCTGATCAAGACTCTCAGCAAATAGATGTAAAAGGAACATTTCACACAATAAAGCCATACATGACAGACCCATTACGCTTATTTTATTTTGAGAGAGAGAGAGAGAGAGATTTTTGCTATAGGGTGCGTGCATGCACTTGCCAGAGAGACAGAAAGGGAGAAATCACGCCCCAAGGAGGATGACCACACCACAATCCCTTCCACTCCATTCTCCTGTCAGGATTTTGGGTACATATCACCATGTATCTGACATGAGTTTTTAAGCTGCTGGGTCCAAGACTTGAACCACGATCAGTTATGTGGGAGTCCAATGACATAACTATTATGCCATCTGCTGGTCTCAAGACCCATTACTAATATCACACTGAATGGGGAAAAGCTGAAAGCCTCCCCACTA